CAACCACTCTGAAAAACAGCATGGAGGTTCCTCAAAAAGTTGAAAATAGAACTACCCTATGACCCCGCAATTGCACTACTGGCTATTTACCCTAAAGATACAGACGTAGTGATCCAAAGGGGCACGTGCACCCAAATGTTTATAGCAGCAATATCTACAATAGCCAAACTATGGAAAGAACCTAGATGTGCATCAACAGATGAATGGATAAAGAAGATGTGGTATATATATACAATGTAATACTATGCAGCCATCAAAAGAAATGAAATCTTGCCATTTGCGACGATGTGAATGGAACTAGAGGGTAACATGCTTAGCGAAATAAGTCAATTGGAGAAAGACAACTATCATATGATCTCCCTGATATGAGGAAGTGGAGATTCAACGTGGGGGGTTGGGGGGGTAGGAGAAGAATAAATGAAACAAGACGGGATCGGGAGGGAGACAAACCATAAGTGACTCTTAATCTCACAAAACAAACTGAGAGTTGCTGGGGGGAGGGGGGTCGGGAGAGGGGGTTGGGGTTATGGACATTGGGGAGGCTATGTGCTATGGTGAGTGTTGTGAAATGTGTTTACAGACCTGTACCCCTGTGGATAAAAATACATTATATGTTTATAAAAAATTAAAAAATAAAGATTAAAAAAAATCAAAATAAAAAAAAGAGAAATTAAGATGTTTTTGGATAAACAAAACCAGGTAATTTGTAATAGCACACCTGTCCCACAAGAAAACAAGGAAGTCCTTGAGGTTGGATGAAAACACACAAGACAGTAATTCAAATCCATAAAAAGAAAAAATAAACAACAATAACAAAAACTCAAAAAATTAACACTTGTAAAGGTAAGTGCATAGATAAATATAATAGAAGTCTACATATATGTTTTATGTCTAACTTTTTTCCTCTTCATGCTAATGTATGAGGTGCTGCTAAAGAGTACTTAGATGGCATTTTGCACCTATTAAACAGTACATTTATGAAGAGGAAATATTTCAGATCAATAAGCTAACTTTCTGTCTAGACAATTTAGAATATGTAAAGAGCAAACTAAACCCAAAGCTGAAGAAAAGGAAATAATAAGGTTTAAAGTGGAAAAAACATAGAGAAGATAAAAATAATAAAAAACATAACAAAACCAATAGTTTATTTAGAAAGATCAACACAATTGAAAAACTTAGTTACACTGTTAGAAATAAAACAGAACAAAGATATCATTAATGAAACAGGGCACCCTACTGTTGACCTTATGGATATAAAATGGATTATAAAGGAATAGTATAAACAATTGTATGTTAAAAATTAGATAATGTAGATGAAACTAATACACGTCTGATGCAAAACTACCAGAACTCTGATCCATTGCTGGTGGGAATATGAAACGATATAGCCACTCTGGAAAATGGTTTGGCAGTTTCTTACAAAGTTAAATATATACTTACCATATGACTCAGCAGTCCTACTCTAATAAATTGAAAACTTATGTTCATATAAAAACCCATACACCTGTGTTTATAGGTAGCTCTTGTAGTACTTTCAAAGTACTAGACAAAGTACTTTGCAAGTACTGGCAAAAGAGCCCTTAAAAACTATCTCCTGTTTTGGGGTGCCTGGGTGGCTCAGTGGGTTAAAGCCTCTGCCTTCGGCTTGGGTCATGATCTTGGGATCCTAGGATCAAGCCCCGCGTCAGGCTCTCTGCTGGGGATGAGTGGGAGCCTGTTTCCTCCTCTCTCTCTCTCTCTCTCTCTCTCTCTGCCTTCCTCTCTGTCTACTTGTGATCTCTGTCAAATAAATAAATAAAATCTTAAAAAAAAAATGCACTTCAGTGAGTGAATGGATAAACAGACTCTGATACCTTCATACAATGGAATACTGATCAGCAATAGAGAAGAATGAATTGGTGAGTCATACAACTTGGGTGAAACTTAAAGGCCTTATGCTGATTCAGAGATGCCGTTGTCACATTATTGCCATATTACTGAAAAGACACAGCTAAAGCAATGGACAGTAACTCAGTGGTTGCCAGGAATTATGGATGGGGAACAGGCATGGATATAAAAGGATAGCATGGGGAGTTTTTGAGATAGAACTATTTTGTGCCCTGATTATGGCAGTAGTTACATGAATCTATACAAGAACAATAAAATTCATAGAACTGTATACCAAAAGGAAAAAAAAAGTCAATTTCATTGTGATAATTTAAGAATAAAATATAAAAAAGTAGTATTATAGGATTATATTGGAAAGAGGAAGCATAAATCACTCAATCAGGAAGCTTAGGGAAGGAGAAAAAAAGCTTTTGTTACTTAAACTATGCCATAGGAAATGAAAATACAGAAATTGTCATTAAACAGAGAAACTAAATAATTGAGGCCCCAGATTAGTTTCATAGGCTTGAGTTCTACAGGTTTCTTCTCATATAAATGGTAATGAGTAATTGTCAAACAGCTACTTTGGTTATTGTATTATTGATATAACCAAAATCGGACCCAACTATGTCTAGAAAGCCATCTACATATAAAATCTACATTATTATATATGTATTATATACATATATAAGTGTATCTGTATGTGTGTATATATATAATGTATATAAATGTACATATATATATAATGTATATAAATGTACATATATATATGTATGTGGTTTTCTAAGTTAAGTACTCAGAATGTAGGGGCTTCTGAATTTAACATTTTTACAATTGTGTAGGCATAGGTATCCTTCTTGAAGCCATACAAAATTTAAATGTTGAAAACCCCTTTGATATAGTAGAAATATCTAGTTTTAGTTGTAAAGAACTTAACAGATGCCCCTGTAAACGCTTTCACTTAGTAGACTGAAACCTCGTTTTTCAGTATATACTTTTGGATATCATAGTTAGCAAGCAGAATGCTAAACTACTGACAGATGCACTATTTGGAGAAGTACCAGGTGTAAATAATTTTTTAAAACCATCTATTTGTTATAAATACAGTTTCAAATGTTCATATCAACTTTAATATGAATCTAGAGGTATTATTCTCTAAGAGATACAGAAGTTGAATTGAGATGGAACACATTATTTAACTAATAAGTTACATGGCAAGTGAAGTAGAGTGATAAATTCTCACTTTAACCTTGACTCTTTGAAGTATATTTGACACATCATCCAGAATAATGCATATATGTATGTAAAGCATTTGGGTTAGGACGATCCTTTTTCCATTTATTTTCCCCCTTGCACACAGAGATTATTATAGGGCATATATAAGATAAAACAAGAAATGATTTTTTGGTCTCAGATCTATAATCTTCAAATTTCTCTTTAGATTCTCCTTAGAAATTTGCTTTGTAACCCTGAGTGAGGCATTTGATGTGTCACCATTTTCATTGTTCTGACCTGTTTAAATCTCAGCAGGAATAATGACATGAATAGTTTGACTGTTGAGATGTGAAATCAGAGTGAACACTTGTCAAGGCTTTTGCAGCAAAATTAAATGTTGCTAATTTAAACTGGGTCAGAGTAATATTTTTCTGTAGTTTATTCATTCCATAATTTAAATTTAGATCATTTGATGTACATTTTTACAATTGGTTCATTTCTGGATCATTAAATCTTATCATCAAATAATATTTATTAAGCTTTCACATGTTCATAGATCCAGAATGACTGCTATGTGATAGCAGTTAAGGAAATAGCATACACTGGCTCTTTAAAAAAAAGCAACAACAACAAAAAATCACATAGCTCTTCAGCCAAACAAGCACTTTTATGTGTCTAATGAACACAAATAGAGCATTTCTTCGTTACTCCCATCCATTTGACTCACTTCTCCCTGCCATTTCTAATTCTAAAAATCTATATGGAATTTTAAAGGCACTTTTGAATCATTAGCAAAGAATTATTTTATTGGACATTAACTTTTTATGATACACTACAGTGTAGATCAACTGCATTCAGATTTATTTCAGTGCAAGGAAGATGTGGAAATTAAAGTTAGAAGTTGTATTATTTACATAAAGGAGATATAGGGGTAAGTCTGGAAAGGAACTGACCATAAAGGAAAGGGAATAAGATAGAAACCAGGCAAACTATAAGAATATAAAAGAGAGATTATGTGGATTTATGCTAACTCCCACACAGAGTGACATACTGTATTTGAGACCCATTGACCCAGTTCTTAGTTAAAAGTTCTTTTGGTTAACAAAAGAATATATTATTCTAGTCAATGTTTTTATTACTCTTGTTTTGTTTTGTTTTTGTATTGTTAAATCTATTTTCTTCACAGGTTATGTAATTCATTAGTTACATACAGACTCAGGTTTGTTATTCATTAGTTGTCAAATGGTACACAAAAAAAGGAAATTTGGTGATGTTAACTAACTTAGTTTTGTTCATCTTTGGCTGTGAAAGATGGTAGAGAAGCCTGGAACTAGTATTTAAATACAGCTTTCCTACATCTTTTATTTGGCATATTTATTCTGTCCTCTATTAAGAGCAAATAAAGTTAAATATGTATTTTTCTAATGAATTCAGTGACTGAAAGTTTTTACAGATCTTCTTTAGTTTCTTATACAAAACTTGAGGATATTCCTCAAATTGATTATTTGGTTATTTTATATATCCTTAATAAAATAAATTTATAATGAGCTCTTATTCTTCATGTAGGAAGATGAAGTTAACTTACCTATTAATGGGATCTTAGGTATACTCACTTACACATTGGTTTCTAAATGTTTCCAAAAGGTTTACTTCCTTTACTCTGAATATTCTCTAAAATAACTTTTTAGCTTTTTACTGCACACCAAATTGAAGATGTCTGTCAGATCTTCTTCCTGCAAAAAATTAAGAGAGAAGTTGACCTTAGGGTGATAACGTTTATGGTTTCCAAAACTGGGAGCTCCTTTGCAACTCTGTGTCCCAGGCTTACTGTATTTAAACATTCCTTGACATTTCAGTTGGCTGTTAAACTTGAATTATATATTAAGTGTAGCTCATTGCCTGAAATTATTTCTTTCTAGGTAAACAAGATTATAAAAAAACCAAACCTATTTTACGAGCAACCAAATTAAAAGCAGAAGCAAAGAAAACAGCAATAGGGATAAAGGTACCTGTATTTGGTAACTTTAAAATTTGATATATGCATGCCATTTCATTTTCTAAAACTGGATTGCATAAATGTTGAATGCTAAATGTTTTATGACATTTCAAAATCAAAGTCAATGCCAGAATTGAAGGTACTTATAAAGAATTTACTTAATGGGAAGCATCATTCTGATCCTGAGATTTTACCAGGTCTTAAAACACGATGTCACATAAGAAAACCAGTTATACTTAAAGTTGCAGCTTATTTTTTCCTCTAGCTACTGTATATATTGTTCAAACATTTCAGTGATTTATGTGACCCAAATAAGAAACTTCTTTTATTTTTAATAAATTTAATTTTATGGTTATTGCAATTTTAGTTATAATTACATATCTTAGATCATTAATATATATAATTTTATTCTGTGTTTTATTATTGTTGTCAGTACTCTCTATGATGAAATTCTAGTGATGTCCCCAAACTTGTTCTTTTAGAAAACCAGTGTTTTAACTGCTTAAGAGGGATAAGCGCTTCTGAGAATGATGTTAGCAGATAATAATCCAATATGCTAGCACAATGAAGTTCAACAAAATTACATTTATATTACTACTCATGTCAATTTTTTGCCAAATATTTAGAGGTGACTCAAACTATAAATAAAAAAATTAACTTGATGGTTCTACTGTCAAATGTATAAAATTAAAGTGAATAGTATATATACTTTATTTAAATATGAAAATGTTAAAAGGAGATTTTGGTTTTTATCTGGCAGATGAAAAATCAATTTTTCTAAGTTATAGCTTATAGCAAATGCCAAGGTATTACTACCAGGCTGTAACAGCTGTTGAACTGCCAGATGATATATTTGGTTGTCTTCCAGAATTTGCTATTATGATCACCAAATACTGCCTTCGTTTTACTCTTGATTGCTGATTTTGATCAAGTATTGCCGTGTGATACGGTATGTTTTCACAACACAATCCCCTCAGTTAGTGCTGTGTGTCAGTTTTTAATGAAAAAAAAAAGGTTAATCGTCTTTTTGTTTAAAAGAGAAATTAATCTTTTGAAATTTTCTTCTAATTTCACATGAAATTTTGTTCATCTTTTAAATTATCTCCATGACATGATATTTCTAAAAGCATTAGTTAGGGGTTATTTTCTTTCTTTATTTTACAGTTAGTTACCTGATGATTGTCTCTTTTTGTGAGAGCATTATCTATAATTTTCCACCAAGGCATTATGTCAGTCACTTTTATCTCTTCCAAAGTGGTGTTTTGTTTTTAGGGTTTTTTAAAGAAAGATATTGGGTAGCAAAATCCTCTTGTGGCACAATATAACGAGCAACTATAAATTAGAATTTGAGAAATATGCAGCCATTCGTTTATTAATATATACACATTCTCTTCATTTGCCCTTATAATTTTTGTTATTTTAATTTGAGGAAATGATTGTCTTAGTATCAGATAAATCTACCTTATAACACAATTACTTAGTATCTTTTTATAAGCAATGCAGAACTTATCTTTTTTTTGAGAAAAAAGTTTTTCTTAGATTTCATTTATGATTTAATGTATGTACAGAAGTGTTTCTGACATCCGAAAATAGCTCCTTTTGAATAAGCTCACATATCATTTTGATTTGTATACCTGTGAAAAACAAAAACCTTAAATTTAAACATTGGTTATTTTGCTTGAAAAATTATATGAAGAGCCCATTAAAATGATATGAAACTTTTTAGAATCAGAACCATGGATGTGTTTTACATTTCAAATCTGGCATACTAATTAGTTTGCCCTGTTAAACTTTGATTGCCTTGTCATTTTAGCATAGGATTTTAAATAACGAAGTTTCGTTCAGCAATTGCCATTTAATGCTGTTTAATTTCCCCAGTGAGTGATTTTATCCATATTGATAATGTCAGAGAAGCAACTAAGGACTAATGAACATCAAACATGTTTGACTCTTACGTAGTTGATTCAGGATGACCATAATATTATAGTATTTTATCACTTTATTGCTTATTTTTAGAATGAATCATAGTTATGCTCTTAAAATAATTTAAATCTATAGAAAATATGAACAGCTGGATGGAATAGAAAAATACCAGCCATGACAACACTGAACAGAGAAGAAAGAGGTCTGGGATTACATTCCTCTTTCCTCTTCCTGTTGCCATGATCTAACAAAGTCTAAGCTGACATATTTGCAAAAGCAATTATAACATTACCTCACAGGGTTTTCAGAAGAGTTAAATAATACCACAAAAACAGTTAACATTGAACCGAGGACATTGAATTCATATATTAATTGTTAGCTGATTGAGAAAACACTTCTTTGAATTGGCCATTACTGGTTTGTACAAATAAGACTCCCCTTGGTTGTTTGTCATTGGCCTTAAGATCCCCCACTTCAACTTAGTCAGCATTGTATTATTATATTGCATATTGTAAAATGTTCTCAGTTTACTGTGGAGATACTAATATTGCTGTTGTAAAGTTTTCAAAGTATTATCTAATTTTTAAAAAGATTTTATTTATTTATTTGATGGACAGAGATCATAAGTAGGCAGGGAGGCAGGCATTGAGAGAGGAGGAAGCAGGCTCTCTGCGGAGCAGAGGGCCAGATGCGGGGCTCAATCACAGGAGCCTGGGATCATGACCTGAGCCGAAGGCAGAGGTTTTAACCCACTGAGCCACCCAGGCTCCCCCAAAGTATTATCTAATTTTAATATACTTCTTATATAGGTTATCTAAATCTTAATCCTTCATTATCTGTTTAGAAATGCTTTAAATATTACAATGTTGTAGAACCTATAGAAAGAATATTACAATGTTCTAGAACCTATAGAAAGAAAGATGATCACCTGGGAGCACCTGGGAGCATGATCACCTGGGAGCAATTTATACAAGAAATAACTTCCAGATTTCAATACCATAAAAATCAACAATATTGACTGGGATATCTAGGACTGGAGAGGTAATGAATACACAATATATTCTTTACGCTCAAAGACTTTTAGTGCCTTTTTGTAAACATATGTTTAGTAATTAAAAATGTTTTGAGAGAACAGTGCTGATTCAGAATAAGATGTGAATATCAGGGGTGCCTGGGTGGCTCAGTGGGTTAAAGCCTCTGCCTTTGGCTCAGGTCATGATCCCAGGATCCTGGGATTGAGCCCCTCATTGGGCTCTCTGCACGGTGGGGAGCCTGCTTTCTCCTCTCCCTCTCTCTCTGCCTACTTGTGATCTCTGTCTGTCAAATAAACAAATCTTAAAAAAAAAAAAATGTGAATATCATTGTTCCAAAATTTAGAACTAATTTCTGGTTATTGAAGGTATTTTATTTCCTATGTCTTACTAATGTAAACAAAATCTTGCATTTTAAGACACAGTAATGAGTGCTACCTAAAAAATATTTGCACAACCAATATTTCCTATTTGGTTGCTGTTCAGTTAGATTATTTTTGAAGAATTATGACTTCATTAAACATTTTTTAGAATGTAAATACCCATGTTTCCTAGTATTTAGAAGAAAAAAGATAATTCATTTTTGTTAATTAATTGGTTATTTGAAAGGTTTATTTGAAAGGTATAATCTAATAAAAGAATAAATATAAAAATTTAATTTGTCTGTTACATAACTAAAATATTTAAGTGTCAGACAGATCCTGCTAACAACCTCTTGGGATGAGCCATCTGGATATGTTATTTTTCTTCTTTTTTGTGATTTTGGATGTAAAACTAAAAATGGCCAGGGAGTGGGGGGTCATAAATGCCTAGAGTTCTCTAAGTTATGGTTAGTATCACCAGCATCCTGAAAGCAGTATTTTTAAATTCTATCATTGTTTTAACCCTCTGTACATGCAGTCCCACAATGTTCATCTCCTCAACAGAACAAGGATTTTTTTTTAAATGATGCTGTTCCTCCCCATTCAATACTCTTTAGCCCTACCCCCTCCACCATATATTCAGCAAACCTAATTGAATTAATGGATCCTCTGAAGTTGTATTCTATGAGTGTTCTCTGCTTTCTACCCTTAAAACCCATTTTCATGCTTCGGGATATCCTGAAAATGTATAGTGAAGATGATAGAGAGTTTTTTGAAGGGACAAGGAGCAGTTGAAAAGCAGCAGTTAGAGGTGATTATCAAATGAGATGTGGATGATGGCCTCCAATCAAGAGTAAAAACTTTATTCCTGCCTTAAGCTTGTATGAATGGTGACTGCTGTTGAACAGTTTTGTTGTCCACTATATAGAACAGATGGAGTTTGCAGTTGTGTGTCACTTGTTTATTACATCCTCTTAAAATTAGTAGCTGTGTAACCAGATGGGTCTGGGAGCACAGCTGTGGATATAAGAATATAAATGAAACCTGTCTGATGCTGCCATGCCCTTTTGAGATGCCAAAGTGTTCCAACTGCAACAAAGAAAAACTTACTTTCATTGACATTATATTGATGTATTAGATTTTTTAAAAAATCTTATAAAAATTGTTGACACTGAATCTATCAACCCCCTGATTTTTATCAATATATACTTCTGTAGTTTGGAAATCTAAATAAATGTACATTTGATGCTAAATATCTATATAAATTGCCCATTTGTAATTTCAACATCCAGGAAAAAATTTCTTGTTGCTTATAAACAAAATTCATTTTAATGTCTTTTAAAGTTTACTAGATGGCATATGTTGAATTAGTAACTTTACATTCTGATGAAATGTAAAATATATTCATATAAATACAAATAAATTGCTTCTCCATAAAACAATGCCAGGAATGAGTGTGATACACAATTGAAAATTAGAAAGACATATTAGCCTCTTTAGGATATGGAACTGGCACTAGTTGCTCTTTTTTTTTTTTAAATTTCTTTAGCCAAATGATATGTTAATATTGAGAATACTTCTATTGGTGTGTGCGTATACTACATACTATATACTATATACTTCATTTATATATGAAGCTTATGGACTTCTTAGGAGATAATAGGATTTTTGCCATAATATATGTAGTAAATTTTTTGGCTACTAGTTTAACATAGTTAATATAACCTATATCAAATAACCAAATGAAATATTCAGAATAACCCTTCACAATTCTGATAAATTACACTATGTCTTGCTTCATGAACTGAGAGTCCTCAGTTTTGTTCCCCCACATTATAAACTATAGAATTTAGAGTTTAAATTTAGTTTTAACAAAATAATATTTAATAAAGACTTACAGAGACATAATTTAGAAACTGGCTATAATAGCAGTTTCTTCCTATAGAAAAAGAAAGATAAATGTTTTAAAATCTGTGTCCTAAAGCTATAACTAATAACAAACGAATTGAAGCAACAAATAAAGTTAAACATACTCAAATAGAGAACAGAGGAACTGTGTAGGCACAAACTACACTGCTTGCACCCAACATCTTGATATCCAAACTATGCAAATATATCAAAATTGTAAAGTTAAATTTTATTATTAGAAATTTTACTATTACAAATTATATAGAAATAATAATAAAAATGAGTCATCCACTGATGTCCTTATCATTGCAGTTGGTATTGTCAAGTACAAAAAAATTGCTTTACTAAATGACAAGAAGAGTTAAACAAAAAAATGTGGTTAATTAGGTTCAAATTATTATTCTAGATGATGGAATTATATAGCTATTTTCTCTGATGAAACTTATAACATTAACCAATCTCTTTTCATCAATTTCAAACATACCTTTTTTTTTTTTTCCTCCTCCTTAGGAAGTTGGCCTCGTACTAGCAGCTATATTGGCCCTCCTACTGGCTTTCTATGCTTTCTTTTATCTCAGACTGTCCACAGATGTTGACCCTGATCTGGAACGAGATGAAGATTAGCTGAACAGCAATCAATGCATTAAAGGGAAATAATTTTATGAAAGCATCCCTTGGGACCAACACTTTCTAAAGTACTGAAACTGGAACATCTTGAATTCTTTATGCTGGTATTTTCAGTTTTGAGAAATATCTTTTTAAATAGTTGCATAGGATATAAAAAAAAAAAACCTTACCTAGCAATGTAGTATAATGTATGCTACCGGATACTTTTATAAATCTTTCTACTTTGACAGGCAACCTATTCATGGTGCATTTAGATTAAATGGAAAATAGATCCTAAATTCTTCGGATGTCTTAGCCAATTTATGTGTATAACTCCGTCACTTCAGATTACTAAATCTATTTTTGTTCCGTATACATCGTAAGTAAAAGTATCTATCCTCATTTACAGAAACATTCTCAAATCACATTCAGAGCCTAAGAAGGAATGAAAAGTCATGGGAAATTTTTCATTTTACAAAGAAGCCCTGCTTTCTTTCCAGACATATTTTATATCATTAGAGAGACTATCTGCCATACATCTACAGTAATCTTTTTCCTTCTTTGCCAACTGTTCAGCGCACATGTGCTCCATCAGAAATGGCACCTGGATGACAGAAGCTCAAAGAGTCACATATGTCTCTGTAAAATAGAGTTCCTTTCCTCTTGGGCTGTCTGAACTGGTGTAAATAGAAAGTTCAGTTGATCTTGATTTTAATTAACTTATTATTGTATTAATATAAACTTGGAATTCTATTTTAATTATGTTGTTCAGGCTGCTTGCGGTATCAGTTTGCCCTTCTTGTTAGGGAGGTATGTAACAATCTGTCATTTAGCTGTGCAGTTGTTGTTTTTTTTTTCCACACAACAGTAACGGAAGTCCTACCTACTCAGGATAATTTTCTTGGGTTGCCTCCTAACCCTAAACAATACATTGGTTTACAAAATTACATTTTGTCTCTTGAGAGTTAATCAATTACAACTGTTTTGTGAAAAATAAATAATAGAAGAAAATACATGTCTCACATTACTTACATTTCTAATTTTTTTGTTTACATAAGTTTTTAAGATATTTTGCATTTGTTGGAGTATAACAATCAATATATTCAATATTTTTACCAGTAATGGATTTTTTAAAAATATTTTTAGAACACATGAATACATGAAGCTTAGAAAATGGGAAAATATGTGTCCACATCAGAGTTGTTAGCTACTATCTTATATAAAGAAGTATAAAAAATTAATAGTTAGAAACAAATGCACAAAGTGCTTTATATCATATACATTGTATTTATGAAGAGCAAATAAAATGTAAAGATTGTTTCCATATTTTTCCAGAGAAGAAAGCTTTGATGAATACACTCAATCTTCTGTGAGACTTTTGCAAATAGTTGAATATGACTGTGTAGCTTTATGTTCTGTAGAATTTTTCCAAGTAGCATAATTTATTTCATCAATGTGAAAACAGCCCAAAGTTCCCATATCCTCACAGATCATTTATGCCAAACATCTGAGGGCAAAATTTAGCCAGTGTTATTTACTGGATTCTACCCCCTTGAAATCACAAACTCATGAGACAGACCAAGAGTTCTTATACACTCACCACAGCAGACCAATCCAAGTGGCATTTTTAGGAAAGGTTGCAGCATTTAATGCCATGTGGTATGTCTGTTCGTGAAGTGGGTGGCAAGGGAATATCCAAGCTGGCATTTTGGATATGATGGGCCTTTTCCTTTCCTGAGTGACATGCCACATGTCAAGAAATACTGCTTTTCCCCCACTCCTATCACATTTACGTGAACAATTTTCATTTAGTTATTTTACCTCCCATATGGTGTTAAAAACAGTCATATTAAATAAAGATTATTTCTAATTTCAGTAGTAATTTAAATGAGAAGATATGTAATAATTGTTTATTAGATACCTATCCAAGTGAAATATAACAGAATTTATAGTATTTAAAATAAATGAATATACTCTTGGAAATGTCTGAAAATTCATTACCCTGAGAAAAAAATGTTACTCTTCCCTTCTGTTCTTGAGGTGTTCTCTTGAGGAAAAAGGTTGTTTCTGATAGTAGTAAGTATTAATCTATACATAGTATAATTATAAGCTAGTTTGATTACCTCATGTTATCGGTACCTTCAGTATCTGGCTAGTCCATTTGTGTAATTGACTTATGGTGGCTCCAGAGAACCGTAAGTCCCAAAGGTCCAACTCTGATTTTAATAAATTCTGGGTAAACTGAGACAATATATCTTTATACAACACTGTTTTCATGAAATGCAAATCTTTCAAATTCACATTGACTGGGAAGCGGCCTGTAGAGAAATTCCAGATTGAAATCCGGTTTGAATCTTTGAAGCTAGAGAGCTGGTATCTGGCCTACATTTTCAGGGGACCACACTTCTAAATAGTGAGTGGTGTTGGGCATACATCTAAGACTAGCACCAGACACAAATTTTAGGCGTGGATTTTTCTCCTCCAATAATTCACTGCTCAGAGTAATTCAGAAGACAAAAACAGAAAAATTATAATGACTTTTCAGAATGTTAGAATCTATTTGCTAACTATACTCTTCAGGATAAATTTCAGCTAATGCAGCAGACTCTACATACAATGTATGGAATACTGTGAATGAAGCTTGAAGAGTTGCTGGTTCTTATTTTGAATGCAAACTAAACATATGTAGATTTATTGAGAGGAGATATTGTAAAACTATAACCTCACGCAGGATTTCTTTTAAAACAAATGAACAAAAAGCCTATCATTGTGCCAGTATAGAGTTTGTTGTTTTAAGGTGACAAGTACTTGAAGATTTTCTGTCTTTTCAATTTTTCCAAAATACTTCTACCCCAACCAATGATTGCAAGATCATGAAAGTATTTTCTTATTCATTTCTGTAATTTCAGTAGTGTAGTGCTCTGCACATATTTAATAAATGCATGTCAAAATTTAAGTTAATTTCTTTTAGTATTCTCAGAGTCTGGTACAGTTGCTGCATGTAACAGATGATCAAAAATTATTTGCGTTTAACAAATAAAACTTAGAAATCACTGTATTGATCAACTCAACATTTAGCATTTATGATCATTGAATGTCCTGGGACAAATATATATTTCATCCTGTTCCTTTTTAAGATCAAGACAACTAGTGTTAAATTTGCTGTAGAACAGAAACATTGCTGTTTTCTGGGTAATCAAATATGTTATTTTTATCTTAGTATTGTTAAAAACCACACTCAGTGTTTTTAATTTAACTTATTAACCTCACTCCCAATAAAAATAAAAATAAATTTTCATTATAAGGCTTACATTTATGTGAATACTAAAGCACTGTATTTTCCAGATTCTAAAATGATATAGTTGGTGATAATTCAGTAGAGTAAGTTTTGATTTATTTAGATGGGCTTCAGAAGTAAAACTTCCAGAAATTAAACTTAGAGAATTTTCATGTATTTCATCCCTAAGGTAAGGTTGTTGAGCCAGAGCCTAGACTATCTAAGGTATGTACACTTACCTAGGGCTTCTCTGGGGAGATTTTTACCATTTCACCCTTAGCGGCACTGCCTTCCTTTATTAGAATTGCTCCAGTGCAGCCTGGATAGAATGTATGTTTGCTAGATTTTGTTCCACTGACATCATATCAAGAATCAGTGCAACCCACAGTAAAAAAAACAAAACAAACAAACAAACAAAAAACCTAGCAGAAGAATTCAGTGCCAACAGAAACATTCTTAGTATTTTATTTTGTATTTTGTATTTTATTTTGTATTTATGCAGGTAGGTATAAAGGGAACTGGGAGAGTCACTCAAAGAACTATAACAATGTGGAAATATCCATAGTGGGCCAGTAAATTCATTTAAAACAATTGAACTGCTGCCCTATTCAGCAGAGTGCCTCATTCTTAAATAATTTTTTTTTATCCTTAGCAACAGACATGAAATCCTTATTTCAAGAAAAATAAGATACTTTACATGCCAAAAGATTTTTTGATGACAGTACTCCCTCCTATTCTTCATTTTTTAAAACAACAACCAAATTGGTGGGGAGGCAGCCAAAATTTGAGGTACCAATGCCTCTCGAACAGATGTCGCACCATTATTTTTTAGCTCGTTTAGATGAATAAACATGTTAAACTGTGAAGTATTACATTTTAGATTTTTTCATTAAAAAAAGAGACAATCTGTTTACTGTCCTAATTGAGACAACAATCCTTGTGGTTGCCAGTTTTGGCAGTCATAACAATGAACTATAAATATTTGAACCAACCAAGTAAATGGTGACTATAAAGGCTATAGCATGTGTAAAGTTCTGTTTTCATGGGCACCCATCTTAGTATGCCTTTTTTTTTCTGACTTCTTCAAATACAATTGTGTAAATCTGAAGTTTCGGGGTAAGCCTAAAAGAAATTGATTTCAATATCTAATTTCGTTCTAGTTTATTATCCTTTTTAGTGTTCAACTACCCATCTGCTTGTAACAAATTGCTTCTGCAGTTGCTCTACTGAATGTGACAAGGCAGGTCTTCATTGCATTGCCTTCTCTGTACATCCTAGGGTAACACAAAAAATCAGGACCTTTTTTCCTGTTTTTGTTTGTTTGTTTGTTTGTTTGTTTTGTTTTGTTTTTTTAATAAAGTGAGGTTAAAGACATTGTAAGTCTCTTAAATCGCAGCAACTACTTTTTAAGAGAAGGTTTTATAAATAAACCATGTCGAGATAGAATTCTGGCTATAATATCCATGAGCAGGAGGTCACAGTCTTAGCTGCAATAGGATGTTTTGCATGAAGCACTGGCATGTGAGACATTGATAGACCAAAGAGAAGTAATCTAGACACAAACAGTCATTTATTACACTAGTTCCCAAACATTGGTGATCCAGATAGTGAACGCCCTTGTAGGCATTTTCGAGAACCATTGCTTCCTTTTCTACCCTTTACATTCTCCTTTATCTTCCCCAATTCTAAACTCTAGGCAATCTCTAACATTTCCTTTTTCAGTTTGTATGAACCTCACTTGTATGTTAAGTCGCACTTAACTATATACTTACCATATTAACTGCCTCCACTCTTTTTACTTAGAATCAAGACTATTTTCCCACTCTCACTCCTCACCCCTTTCTTTTTCTTAATCACTGGCCACATGCATTACACAAAACTAGAGATAAGAGTGTAATGAACCTCAGTGTACCCATCACCTAGAGTCAACAATTACCAATATTTTCCCACTCTTTTGTTTCCCCATTTTTTTTTGTAACCTGAGATATTTTAAAATAAACCTCAAATAAGATGACATTTTACCTATAAATATCTCAGTATACATCTCTGACAAGAACTTTCATTTTTTTGTTTGTTATTGTTTTTTTCTTGCATTACCAAGAAGCTATTATTACAGTTAATAGGACTAGTTATTTCTTCAAATCATTTAATACCAAGTCCATGTTAGAATGTCCCAGATTTCTTCAAGATACCTATTTATAATAGGCTTTGAATCAAGATCTCTACTACATTTTATTGTAAGCCTCTTAAATTTCTTTTATTCTATAGCAAACCTCTTTTTCTTTAATGCCATTGATTTGCTGAAGAAACCACAATATTTGTCCTCTTGGATTTCTAATATTTTAGACTTGGCTATTTTCATTTTGTTTTGTATTTTATACCTCTATTTTTCATATTTTTTGTAAAGTAGGAGTTAGATCTTAGGCTAGATTAGATCCAGGTAATTCCATTATTGTTATTTGTTTATTTTTAAGGCAACAGTATGTCATAATACTTAATGAGATACATCACTTCTGGTTGTCTGATTTATAATGATGGTGAAATTTACCAATGGGTTCATGTGCTAGTAACACCTTTCCCTCCAAAATCAACATTTTGCCTGGGGCTTTTAGCATCTATTTATAATTATTCCCTAGATCTATTATTTCATTTGACAATTTTTGATGTTACAAAATGACAATTTTTAAAAATTTTACTTATTTTTTTTCAAGAGAGAGTAAGAGAGCATGTGCACAAGT